TCCCTCCCCACCGTGTGCCAAGCAGTTTTCTAGCCGTTGATATGGTAACAGGAGGAGGAAAGGGGGGGAAGGGAGGGGACGCAGCCTCGGGATTAAGCTCCACACGTGACTCCTGCAGGGAGTCTGGGCTTCGGGACGCAGGTCTAGAGAGAAGCGGGTCTGAGGCCCCCCGGACGTCGTGGGTGAAGGAGCGGCTGTCTCTCCCGCCCTCCGGCCCCTTCTTCACCAGCTGGGGCCACGCTCCCCTCCCCACCCGAGACACTAGAGAATCACGTGTGAGCTCAGCTGGCTGTGGCTCCCCCAGGATGCGTCACCGGCTGCCTCACGCCCGCGTGTGCACAGCAACCCCGAGCAGGGTGACCGGCTCCGAATGGGGGTCCTCGGCACCAAGTGGGGAGACGGCAGGGCAGCCACGTGAGGGAGGGAACAGGATGGGCCTTGGGAATGTGTCCCCAGGATGACTACCTAAGGGGGGGACAGCCTGGCTCCTGTTCCTGTGGGTCACTCACTGCTCTGAGGTGACAGTGTCCTTATGAGTCAAGAGAGCCCGATGGTTGGGCATGAGCCGGACTTAGTCACAAAAAGTCTTCTGCTGTTTGTCCCACTGTGATTCCAAGAGAGCTCTGTGTCCCCTGAAGGGGGCCCTGCGCCTTCATCCAGCCCAGCCAGGAGACCTGCCAGCGCCGATACTGGCACCTTCAACTGCGCGCCCACGTGTGCCCCTCAGGCCCCACTGATGCACGCGGCTTGCCCGGTGGCCACCGTGGGAGAGGTCACAGCCCCACAACACCCAGAGCAGACGCGGAGGACAGGAGCCCCGCTGCTGCTTTCTCCCCCTGCCCACCGACGCCCCCACCTGCCTGGGCCGCTGTGCCAGCCGCTGTGCCAGCTGCTCTCTCACCTCCGGACATGCAGGGCGCGCGAGCCAGGCCGCACCCCTGCCCTCAGGCGGCCCCCTGCCGGATGCTGAGACCAACCCAGGCTGCATCATCGGGCTGGCGAGTGTCCCCCAACTCGACCCTCCAGCCTGCCTTCCCAGCCTGATTCCCATCCCTTCCAACGTCGGTTCACGGCGCCCCCTCCACCTCTCCGAGTGTACACGGCACACGTGTGCTCGTTTCTACGGTCGTCACGCTCCCTCGACTGCTGCTGTTAGATCTGCCTGTGTTTGAGGCCCCCCCCATGACTCCCTCTGCGGGGGGCTGGGCTCGGGGTCCGGGCTCGGTTCCCGTGGTTCTCTGAGGCTGAAGCTGGCTCCTCTCTCCCCGACTCAGAACACCCTTCCTCTCCCACCTGCAGCATTTGTGGGGGCCCCAGGTCACGTCTTATCATGCAGAGACGGTGAGTCTCCCCGCGTTCCTAGCAGTCTCTTCCTCCCTGTAAGTAACAAGCCCCCTCAGCCGAGCACCTGACCCTCCCAGGGGCTGCAGGTCCAACTTCCATACGAGCGTGTAACGTAAATTCTGCCCAAAAGATACGAGCTAAAATCTATTACACTTTCTCACATCCTGTTAAAAAAGACATTGTCTAAAATGTTCTGGCTCCCATTTCTGAGAAATAAATAAAAACTGTTTCTTTGGGTTTTCTTTTCTATAAGATCCTGTGAAATGCGTGTAAACACATCAGAATCGATTACACTGCACACTCAGGTGCGTTTCATTTCTGCAGTTACACCTCAGTGACGCTGACTTCTTCACGGCCTCAGGAGCCAAGCCCTCGGCTCCAGGGCTGAGTCGGGGAGAGGAGCCAGCTTCAGCCTCAGAGAACCACGGGAACCGAGCCCGACCCCGGGCCCAGCCCCCCGCCGGGCTGCGCAGTTGAAAGCCGGTGAGAAATGGGCTCCTATCTTGTTTGCGTCACTGCACTTTTGAAACACTGGACAAAGCAACCAGGCCTGAGCCCCAACGAACAGAATTACATAGAATTGCGTATTTGTATCAATTACTTTCACGTGTCCTAGGCTTATCCCTTCCAAAGAGACTATAAATGCTTCATAAGGCAATGAAGAAATGAGCGATTTCCCCAACCACTCAGGACGCGGGGGCTCATCAGTGACAGTCACGCCCAGGCTCGGCTGGGTCACCCCAGCGCCTCCCCAGTGGGGCCTGCGGAGGGGCCCATGCACCTCGGCCGGCTGAGCAGTGCCTCTCCCGTCCCCGGGACATTCAACAGCTAAGCAGACATGTTGGAGTTATTTCATGGTCTCTTGCAAAACAAAAAGGAATAAATTTTTTTAAAGAACCTTCAGTGCATGTAGATAGTTAGAAACACAATAAGATCGTAGAAATCTATGAGGAGATTGGGCACAGGCCACGCTCAACCATCTGAAACCTAGAGAAGCAGGAGGCTGTGATCCATGGGGACTGAGGCCTGAGGGCCGCATCTGAAGGCGAGAAGCCAGGAGGGCAGGTGCCCAAGGGCGGAAGGAGGGGGCATCTCGGCCCAGGCGGAAGGCAGGGGCCCCCCTTCCTCCACCTTTCTGTTCTGCTCAGGCCCTGACCGGATTGGGGGGCGCCCACCACGTTGGTGAGAGTGATCCTCTGACTCAGTCAACGCTGATCTCTTCCAGAAACACCCCAAGTGATGTTTCACCAGCTAACGGGGCGTCCCTTAGCCCAGCCCAATGAACACACAAGATCAACCGTCATGCCTGGTATTTACCTCCCATCTGGCTGTTGTTTCCTACTCTGTGCTCCCTCGGTGGGACTGTCCTGAGGAAGGAAGGTAATGGTTGGGGTTCCCACATGGTACCCTGAACCCCTAAGAGGCGGCATGAACTTCCCCTGCCTGTTACGCTGCGTTGACCGGACCCCGGTGAGGGACTCAAAGCCACCACGAAGGCGCCGCGTGTGCGAGACTCCGTAATAGTTCCGCATTTTACACACACTCTCTGGTCTGACTCTCACACCACCCTGGGAGGTGCGTACAACAGACTGTCCACTCTGATCGCAGCAACTCCCCAACTGGCTCACACAGAGAGTTTACAG